TATTACAGTCTATTGTAATTTAAATTATAAATAAGGTTTAAGTACCATTTTGGTCCCTCAACTTTACACTTTGGTACCAAAATTGTCCCTCAGCTTTAAAAAGTACCAAAATTATCCTTAAACTTTCATTTTCGATACCAAAATGGTCTTTCCGTCAGTTAAGTGAACAGGTGGCACGTTAAAATGCCACAAAATCACTACTTTTTTTGAATTTTAATGACGTGTAAATCCAGCGAACACAATTTTGCTACTGTGGCATGTTTTTTCCATGTCAAATTGCTCTCCCTTTTCAGATTCAATTTCTGTGGGGCACACATGAAAAATTGTTTTCCTTTTCTAGTTTCAGTTGAGTTCCTGAAGGCCAAATGAAAACAAATACGAACTCAATACTGACTTCCAAAATTTGGAAGATACAGATGAAATTCAATGAAAAATGAAAGAAAAAGGAAATGAAAAACTCAAACTCATTTTAAGTTTTCACATAGTGCAAAATGAAACAACTTTTCTACGGAAAGAAAAAAAAAGGGGATCAGAAATATTTTCTCAGCAACCAAACAAAGCAAGAAGCTAAAGAAACAAAGCAAAGAAAAACTAGCTTTACCATCCCAAACTTCAAAATTGATCAAACCAATCACCAATAATATGAATTTTGTGCTCAGAGCTATGGAAATGAAGTGAAATTGTGAAATTATTGGAAGAAATGCTAGGGTTTGTTCTGCGAGGAACCTAGAAACTGGGTTCTTCAAGGAACCTAGAAACTGGGTTCTTCAAGGAACCTCGCGTAACCTAGGTTCTGGGTTCATCAAGGGTTCCTCGCGAAACCCAGAACCTAGGTTCTTCGAGGAACCCAAGAACCTAGAACTAGGTTCCTCACGAAACCCAAATCTGGGTTCCTTAGGGAACCCAGGAACCCAAAACTGAGTTCCTCAAGGAACTGGGTTCCTCAAGAAACCTAGCATCGGGTTAGGTTCCGCCACCCAACACCGGGTTGGGTTCCTCGCAGAACCCGAATCTAGGTTCCGCGAAGAACCAAGATGAACAAGAGGAAAACCCAGTATCGAGTTCCAAGAGGAACCAAGATGATGAAGAGGAAGAAGATGGTGAAGATGATGAGAAGGATGGTGAAGAGAATGGTGAAGAAGATAAACAGTGAGATGATGATGCCGAGGATTAGGTTGAGGATGAGGAGAAAGAAGAAGATGATGAAATGAAAGTTAATTAACTTAATTATTTTTAAATTCATTTAATTTATAAATTCATTTTTATTTAAATAAAAAAATAACACATGAAAAAAAATGCCATCTCATCACTTTTAGCATGATATGTTTTCCACGTAATTATTATTTTTTTAAGAATATGATTTTGTGGCATTTTAACGTGCCACTTGTCATTTAACTGACAGAAGGATCATTTTGGTACCGAAAATGAAAGTTTGAGGATAATTTTGGTACTTTTTAAAGCTGAGGGACAATTTTAGTACCAAAGTGTAAAGTTGAGGGACCAAAATGGTACTTAAACCTATAAATAAAAGGTTGAATACCCTTTTTGGTTCCTCTACTATAAGAAAAAGCCCCTTTTTAGTCTATGTACCTAAAAAATCCCCTTTTTAGTCTCTAAATTTTAAAATCTGACTCCTTTTTGGTCATTCTATTAAATTTTGACTAATGTGGCAGGTTAATTAACGAAAAAACTTTTTTTTTTTTTTACTAAATTACATGGAAAATCCACCAAGTAAAAATTGATGACATGGTTAAATTTTTTACCTTTAATTATTGATTTACCCTCATCTTTTTTCCTATCCTCTCCTTCCCTATCCTTTCCTTCCTCCAACCTTTTTTTCTTCTCCTTTTTTTCTTTTACCTCCAGGCGAACCTAGCTTGCGGGTTCGCGACAAAGGCCTATGGTAGAAAGAAGAGAGTGATATTTGGTTTTTCAGTCAACCCCAAATGGAACATTAACATAAAATTTGGCATCTAAACATCTAAAAATTGCAAGGCAAATTATTTTAAGGAATAATAGATATACCTGTCTTTCTACCAAAACTATGCTTCTCAAAGGTAACTTCGAAGGAAAATTGTAGAACACATAGTGACTAGATCACAAAAAGTTCAGCATATTATCACTGATCAGAGCATGATAGGAATTCTGTGAAGAGAAATAACTTTAAAATTTGACCATACAATAGAGCAACAACTCAATTTTTCAAATTCAAAAGTCCGGGAAACAAGTTTGTTACCACAAATGGAATAAGCCAAGAAATGCCTTCTCCACCTTGTCGAGCAACAATAGTAGTTGGTCCACCCAAAGAATGGATAAAAAAAAAACCTTAATCAAACATTCTGAAATTCTGCAGATATCATCTTCCTTCTTTCAAAATTCTTATTTTTTTGTTCATAATCAATCCTTTACATGTGAGTTCAATCAAGATAAAATTCTCAGATTTTCAACCCTTTCTTTATTTGTTAACCTATGTCATGTATGAACCAACTAATGAAATTCATAGTAACATAATCGCAACAACATGAACCTATCACCAACAATTTCAAACTCAAATATGAAACACAAACCCAGAACTTAACATCTCTAATTCAAAACCAAATATGAAATTTTAGTTTCAGTTTCATTCAACTTAGATACATTCAAAATAAAAAAAAATGAAAAAAAAAAAGATCGAAACCTAGAACTGGGTTCCTCATGGAACCCAGCAACTGGGTTCCAAGAGGGATGATGAAGAAGGATGATGAAGAGGGATGATAAAGGGGATGATGAAGAAGGATGATGAAGAGGGATGATAAAGAGGATGATGAAAAGGATGGCAAAGAGAATGGCGAGGATGAGGATGAGGAGAAAGAAGAAGATGAGGAAATTATAGTTAATTTCATTTAAATTCATTTAATTTATGAATTAAAAAATAAAATTTTTAATTTGTACATGTGGCACAAAATGCTTACATGTAACTATAATTTTATTCACCTAATTTCCACATCATTTATAATATTAATTATATAAAAAATAATTAAATGATTCCATTAATTAACGTGCCAGATAAACAAAAATTTAACGAAAGGACCAAAAAAAGGTTGGATTTTAAAATTTAAGGACTAAAAAGGGAATTTTTTTGGTATAGAGACCAAAAAGAAGCTTTTTTTATAGTAGAGGGACCAAAAAGGGTATTTCACCTAAATAAAAAAACTAATATAAAGAAACAAAGAAAAGTCTGCTAGCTTATCTGCATTTGTCTGCTAGCCCATCTGTATTTGTACAATCCTCATATTGTACAACCACGAGAAATGTGATTGGTCCATGCGTGCTACACACTTGGCTCGTCCAATCAGAATCCAAACATGTTGGGGGGCATGAAGTGAGACCACGATAATCTTATCCCCTCTTATTTTAATTTAATGAGTCTCAATTGGCTGTGCTGATTGGTCAAACACTGCAAGGAAAATACTAAAAAAAAAAATTAAAATAAGGATAGAGAGTTGGTTGAGGGAGGGGGCAACTAACCTTCTGGAATTTGTGAATATGGCCTTGCGTGCATTCTAGGTACACAAGGGACATTGACTATAAAAAAAAATACAAAAGGGAGGAAACGTAAGACGCACAATAAGTCCCCACAACCACACCCAACGTTTTTTTTTTCGGTGCAGACCACACCCAACATTGTAGTAGCACTTCTTAATTTAAGAATTAAAAAATAAAAATCATGAGGACAAGGATGCTGACGTAAAGATTCTGTTCAATTTCAATGAAACCCATCTTGTTAATACTTAGACTTTTCCATGCGCTCTTCTCCTTGAGGCTTTGTTTCTTTTACTTGTCCGCAGTTTATGCTTGCCAAGTGGCTGTTCAAGCTTCTTCATTTTCAGATGACATAATAAGCCTATATTACAACAATTTAAATTGTTCAAGACTAGATTTTGGCAATTAAAGAATAGATTGAGGTCATAATTAACAAGTTTTGTATTAAAATTAAAAAATTCATAGAGAATTAGCTTCATGTTTCACTAGCCTTTCAAACGATGAAGTCAAATGAACAAAAACAACATTTTGATGAAATTATTGATACAAAACTATATAATATAGGCAAGAAATATGGTTTGGGGTTTTATAACTTACCCATTCTTGAATAACCAAATTAGTGTTATTGGACTAATTGGTTCACTCTAAAACTACTCTTTCTATTTTAAAATAATTTTTATTTTTTGACTTTGAGTTTGTTCCAATTAATTTTTATTTTTTATTTTTTAAAATAAAAAAATATTTTTTTTATTTTAACATTATAATTATCTATTTATTTTAATTACTTATTTAATTATAAAAATTTTACTTTATTTTTTTTAATTTTTTAAAAAATATAAATAAATAGATAAATAAACTCTAAATCTTTAACTTAAAAAATAAAAAATATAATTATTATAGGATAGAAAAAGTAAAGGCCTACGACTCAAGGTTAAGATTCTGCTTCCCGCTTTGAAAGAAATTCCTCCTCCCAAAATTTCCCATGTCTAAATGAAGATAAAAGAAAAAAAATTTGTTTTAGAATTCAACTAACACTGAATTATAAAATATAAATGATTAAATAAAAAAATTTCTTAATATTAGGAAATTTATTTTTTATTTAATAATAATTATTATATAATTTTATATAATTTAATTTATATAATAATTTTTTTTAAAAAAAATCCCTTAATGAACAAATGTTGATTGATTGAGTACATCGTCTCTTCATTTAATTAATGGCGGAGGAAACGCAGCCACGCAATGAGCACAGAGCTAACCATTCCTTGGCCTTTTACTAAAGAGTGCAGTGCTAGGGGCACTCGCTTTTCGCACTTTCCGGCCAACACTTTCCCTTTTATTGGGCCACGTAAGCTTCTTTAAAGCTTTCAGGCGCAACC